AATGACTTTGCCAACAAAGACAATGAACGGAAGTTAACATTACGACAGTTTTGCTTCGTCGCCTCGCATAGATGCGTTTTGAAATAGTTCTTAAAAACACAGTAACACAATGCTTGTTATCAAAATCTAGATGACATACTGAAATATTATTCCTATCATAAAACCTTTTTTTTATCGACTTACATTTTGTGAAAGCAATTTGAAAGTACTTTTATCTTCTTCAGCCAATTCTTTCAGATAATATTTGGGACAAGTATATTTGGTTTCTAAATTACTTGTTTACGAGTTGAGGTAAAAAAAACCATAAAAAATATTTTCCTCCCTCTGTTCTTTCTAAGTCAAAGTTCCAGCATTTCTCAGATAACACAACAATTCTATTTTCTCCCGTGAATTTGAACTGCAACCCGTAAATTTGAATTCACAAACTTGAGTTCCATAGAAGTGTAAAAAAATGGCAACTAAAATTAAACATATTCGTGCCGAAAAATCATATATACAGTTAATAAACTCAGAAATGATAAGAGACTGGCAAATGAAGATCCATCATGAATCTATTCATTTATCACTCGTGTAATGATCAGTTTCGAGAGCCCTAACGTAAAATCTGAGCCCACAAAGAGAAATTCTGCACGTGATACACATGAATGTAGGAATATATTGGGGATGAAAAATTAAGTCTAATATGCTAGAACTAGCGACTGAATTAGAGATAGGATATTCAGACAACTGAATTCTATAAATTTGTTTTTCAAAAAGATTCGATATTGCAAAATTCCCGGCGGCTGGTGCACTCATTATTTAAGGAAAAATAACTGAACAAACCCAGAATTTTTTTGGTCAAATTATATTGAAAAAAAAAGGGGGGGAGAACCACAGTATTCAAGATCTTTATTTCCTTTATTAAATTTAGTGTACCTATTTTTTTAAAAATACGGTTATGTTTTTAGAAACTATATTCTTTAATGCCGCCCAAGCGGAATAGTGTTTAATGACGCTGACTGCCATGCCGAAGGGCCTAGGCTCGAATCCCGGAGGAAGCATGGATATTTGTAAATGTATAGTGTCTGTGCGTCATGGGGGCACTCTAAATATCCGGCGAGCTGAAAGACCCCTCGAGAGATTGCTGGTGGGGGAAGAGGGTTAAGAAACCCTCAGACCCGTACCCCTTCGCGGACTTGTTCTAATGTTATTGTCAGACAAGTGAGATAAGTCACAACAATATTATTTATTAGAGGCTTGTTTATATTTAGAGTTTTGTTTTAATTAAAAGCTTTTAATGTTAAGTATTATTTTTTCTTTTACTTTTCCCCTTATTATTATTCGTATATGAAGGATTCGAAAGATTCCAGAACATTTTAGGATTCTGATTTGAGAATAGTTAGCACTCGTTCACCTTTAGTTTAAAATTACAAAATCTCGAAGCCTCAGGATCTAGGATTTGGATTTATTAGACTATGGCAAAGCACAGCGCACTAGTTGTATCTATTTTAAGGGGTGGTGCTTTTTTGTAGTACTTTCTAAGAGAAACTGACTCGCTTGCACGTTACACAAACGGAATTCACGAAAACTCACATGCGGCCAGCCCGGTCGCCGGGACATGAATTCAAATCGAACTACCAGTACTCAGTGATGTTGTACACTTGGCATCTGAGAAGTAGAAGAGAAAGATCTAGGAATTTTAAACTTTCCGAATCAATCATGAGCCACGCAGACATCAATCGACTTACTACAAAATAGTGATTTATACTAGTTTCGAACTACCGTGTAATTAAATATTATTGTCAATGGTCTGGAATAGCTGAACCATGTGTCACTTAGCCATCTTATCATCGAGAACGCTGCCCAGGATGCACCTCAAAGGTAAACTGATATTACAACCACGTGGATGGAGAAGAACCAACTACAAACAATCACCTCTTTCTCCAGAATTCGAACCCAACGGTTTAGCAGCCGACTTGTTACCATACCGAGCAGGGAAAATAATTTGAAAAATGCAACTTTCTTAATGGTGTGAGCAATTTTATACCAGAGCACAATTATGCAAGCGGCATTTTTATTCGTTTTGCTAATTAAAGTAACAAACTAAAACTATACTTGCACAGCAGTGCTCCGGCATGAAGGTGTTCACATCTTTATTATTGTTATTTTTATTATTATTTCCAAGTTTAAAAACTAGTCTCCAATGGGGAGGGAGCTTTCAAGAAGAATTTTGTCTATTCGAACAGCTGCTAACTTGCAAAATGTGTCGGCACCTTTAATAAGCGGCCACTCTATGAACCGATCCCGATTGTCTGAGGCAAATCTGGACCAGCTTGCCTCGAGTAAGATTAGATTATTTGAATATGACAAAGCACACGAAAAATAGTATTTCAGATCATCGAGTTTTTCTACTGCAAGTGCTTTGGGAAAAAGAGACCTTGAACCCTTTTTCATACTCGATCTATTTAATGCAGGAAAGGTTGCGCTGACGTTTCGAGCAGAATCTAAGAGCAAATTAAAACACAAAGCGCCTAACGTAGGGCAACAAGAGAGATTTAGACCTTCCAGGCATTTGACAGCTTTATTCGCTTGCATTTGAATTGATGGTTTTCCTTGTTCCACGCCACACGTGAATACCAAACAGACAAACAATGGTGCTATGTTACCTAGATGGACCAATAACAGGAGGAAAACGCTGTTGCTGTTAATAGGAAAACGTTAATGAAGTTTATCTCCAATAAATGTTTTTTTTATCGTAATTCATGCGATTAAAATAAGGATGCTTTTTTTAAATAAGTATATTTAGTTATGAATTTCACAATTACGCTTCCTTTTTAGATAGATTCGTGTACTACTGCTAGAAGTTATGATAATCGTGCTCTTTTTTATAGCTATATCTATAAAATTATCGTCAGATAGAATATTAACCCTTTGTACTTTACTTGACTGTGTATCGTAAGCTTATGTCATGCATCATTAATTCACGAAAAATATCCTATGGATATTTTCTGACATTTGTTCCGATACCAACTTTTATTATTACGATTAGTATTATATTGTAGCTGAAGCCCACCAACACCTGTCTGTGATAAAATCACATTTTTAGAGAAATCGTATCATAACTGTACCTCCTACCAGTGGGTAACACTTTCTAAGATTACCAATCTCTCTGTACATTTTTTTTTATTTTCAGAACAGCTAGAAATTTGTACTTCAATGTAAAAAAATAAAAATGGCACATTAAATTAAAATATAAAAGTTGGAAAAACCAAACGTTGGAGGTAAATTAAAGGATTACAAGAGACAAAACGATATTTCATAATATCTCTTCAAGGGGGTAGTGCCGTGAGATAATGTAACGGGATAGCCATGTTTTTGGTATATATGTATATGTCTGATTTCTCTCTCTCTCTCTTTCTTGGCATATACACATATATGTTATTGTGACTACTATCCCTTGTTTGATATCAGAGCAAGCCCACAAAATTCACCATGGCAAGTGGGCAAGATTGAGCCTGATACTGGCAAGAGCCTTAGTCACCATACAGGTGACAATACGACTTGGCTGCGCCCCCCCCCAATTTTGAAGAACACCTCAGGAGGAGGGGTCCGAGGGTCTCCCAACCATCTTCCTCTACTATCAACCTCTCGAGAGGACTTTCATCTCACCATATATTTGAGTGCCCCGCACAGACACTATACACTTACAAACATTCCCGCCTTCTCCGGTATTCGAACCCGGGCCTTTCGGTATGGCAATCAAAGTCACTAACCGCTTGGGAGGCACATATACACATATATATATATATCATTATATATTAGCCGTCAAATTAACTCATCCTAGAATGGCTTTGGAAGAATCTAGAAATCGAGTCCATGTATTTTATATTAAATGTTGAACCTGTAACTTTCAGTAATTCGAATTCTAAACAGTTCTCGGATCCCTCACATAGAAATAATTGAAGTGGAAAATAATAATAATAACTGATAATAGAGCAAAATTCAAAATTTGTTTTTAATAAGAAACAAACCAAAGAACATAATTTTAGAAACATAGTTATATTTATTAATAAGGTATAAATGAAATGTTGTGCATTAAGTACATAATAAAAAGTTTTGAACCTTAAGTTTCATTTTATTAATTTAATTTCACAAAAAAATACTTGACTAACAGTTCGGAATTTTAAGATTTTTCTTGAAACTTTTTAAATCAAAGCAAGTTTAGACGAGAGGGGTGGGATTATTTCAAAGTTTAACATACAGATTAAATAAAATCCTCTAAACTTTCTCCAGAAAATTCGGTGTATGGAACTGTCAGAGAGTCTCCAGAAAATTAGGTTGTCAGAGGTTATTTAGCAAACCAGGATCACTGAAATTGGAACAATTACTTTTTTTTAGTACAATCCTCTATTGAACAGTAATAAAACTAATCTTTCCATAATTTTGAATTGAAATGTTTAGCGAGTATTCAGGTTCATATTCGTGAGATTTAAATGATGACAAGATGGACGAAGTTTCGAGTTTTTCCAAGTTTCGTGGGATTCTGAGATTAGTTGTTCTTCTGCATATCTTACAACCATACAGGGTCTTCATAAAAAGAAGTGGCCTAAAGCGAACTTTCACTGAGAGAAGAATATCTTCAATCCCCCCCTTTTTTTTTTTTTTTTTTCATTAACTCAACACTGTTATTACTGACATTATTTCTCTCTGAAACAGAGAATTCAGGATCATAAACCTGCTGTCTGTAACACGCAATATACAACTGACGTCTTTGAGACGTCTTACACTAAGAGACAAAAATTTTTCAGGTAAACGTCGCTCCCCCCTAAAAAAATTTCTCTCTTTCTAAAAATATTAGTGACATTTTGGGCAAAGATCCCTGTCACAATCGCTCATTTCTATGTACATACGTAATGATGTTCCATTACAATCTTGCAACGGAATGATGCGCGCATTTAAACCGGTTCCCCTTTGACGTCATCGTGCGTAAGTTTTGGTCAGTTCAAAACGCAGGTTGGTAAAGAAACAGGTGGATTCGAAGCCTTCTTCCTCCTGGTTTGCTACCTGGATAAGCATCGTTGACGCACGAAGGAAGAAAAAAACGTCAAAAAATAATCATCCTAAAAGGAAAAGATTTACAATTAATACTCGGACCGATCGCTATTTTGTTTCATAGCTCTTTACTTATTTACTCTTTCGTATTATAAAACTGGGATGTAATTTCTGGACCTTGTCATCCTTACAATAACGACCAAGACCTTCGGCAACCAGTCGACTGAGTATTTTTCAACAAGGTGAGTACTTAGCCAATGGCAATTGATGCGATTTTTCATTTTAAAGTCAAATTAACTCAACGCTATCATTTTCTTTTAAATTATATTGTAGGAATTTTGAACCTTTTGTGATTTACGCTATTCCAAGTTCCTTTAAAGTTTGTTCAGAAAGAATATTAAAATTATTCCCTCTTAACTTATAGGGATATAAGAATGTTACAAACCAGAGGAATTTAAATAAACTGCAAGGCATAGGAAAAGACTCAGAATATTTTTTTTTTTTTTTTTTCCAAAATAAATACAATATTTTATGTGATAGTTATTTTGTTTTCAGAGTGGCTTCTTAGTGTCTAAAAGATTCCAAAATGTAAATTTAATATAATTATAGGATCAAATAAAGCCTTAATAGACAAAAGGAAATATTAAAATTATTAACTGCATTGAGTGAAAATATTTTTAAAACCAGAGCATTTTATGGATATATTGATTAGTTATTTTTTAACTGTTTACTTGGCCTCTCACAAGGCATATTTATATTATTTCTTTCTAAATGCAAAAATTCATAAAAATATTTTAACTCATTACTTTTCATTTAATTATTTAAATTGTGATGTAATTTTTTATTATGTGTATTATTGTGTGTAGTTATTATTACTCATTTATCCTATTTCAGTAATTATTTAATTATTTTTCAAAACTGCTATATATAGAGATAAATAATATAGTGATAAATAATATGCAGGAATTCATTGCCCTTATGAGATGATACATTCCTTAAGAAAAATTCAGGAACATGCAATTCTGAAATAGAATTTTGCCTCCGAGACAGCGTTACCATGGCAACGGTATACGCCGCGACTGCAATGACCGTCAACGTAAGAGAATGAATTAGTTACAAGGATATTTTATCCGCACTTTTGTCTTTTGTACCCTATATTATATCGACTGCAAAATTTCAAATTCTACTTCTTTTGTATCAAAATAAATAAATAAATAAATAAATAAATAAATAAATAAAATAAAGTGGTGTGGTTATCATGAAATATTGTAGTGTAACGTATACCTTTGTTATCCACTCTGTACATTTCTTTTCATTTTGCTCAAATGTTAATATACATATATTTGATATTAGGATGTTTTCTATCTGCACCAGTTTCTGTTCAAAAAAGAAATTCAGAAACAAATGTCGAAGCCTTAAGCATAGCAAATCTTTTTATTTGAGTTTTAAATTTTATTCAATAATGCAGATTTAGTTTTACGATTTGACAGCAGTAGTTACTTTTTTAATGAACAAAGGCAAAATATTCGTATGTTTTTTTTAAATTTTAAAATTCAATTGCAAATTTTTATCAACAAACCCTTTTTTGAGGTGTTGATTGTAATCTGAGATTTTTACATAACCATTTCTTTTTTTATTGTTTTTCCCCGTATCCAATTTTAATAAACCATAACTTAATGATTAAAATTAGCATAAAAGGCAAAATCCAGTCGTATTTATAATTAATTTACCTGATAGTCAAACAAAGGAAACTACTTTATATTTATATCGCAGCAGAAAAAGACCCAAAATTCCTTTTTATTTCTAATTCAAATACAACATTAATCTGCTCTTTTCTCTCAAACTATGCCCTCGAATACCCTTTAAGCTAGAAATAGGTAAATTATCCGCTTTTCTGAAAAGAATTTACAGGATTAAGATAAGATAAAAAGGGGAAAAAAAAAAAAAAAAAAAAAAAAAAAAAAAAAACGCTTTCATGAGAGACATTCTATGACTGCCTTTTGTTTGCTCGTTCATTGTCCGCTTAATAAGATTTCATTGTGTCTAAAGTTCTCGGTGAGTTTCCGTTGCTATTGTATTTGATTCTTTTTATTTGTGCTCGGCATAATGAATCAAGAAAAAAATAGGAAAGAGCAGAAATGAGAAATCCAGTCTAGTGTTTGCATTATAAATTAAAACTGCAGTAGTATGGAGTAGATTTTTGCTTCAGCTTTATTAATTGCTTTTAACTTATTTGACATTCTTCCGATGTTTGTAGGTTAGTCCTTCGCTTTTCGCGAGACAGTTGATCTGATTTGCTCCTTCGGGAGCGAAATTAAAAACTGTCTAAACAGCTAAGCCGTATATAATAATTTTCCGTAACAGCTTTAATACGTATATATACGCGCACCTTGATCACTGAGCATCTTTGAAAACATTTTGGCCCACCAGCGGCCGAGCGGTTTATTATTTAGTTTAAAATAACTGTGTAGATAAGACAAGTAAACACAGTAACTCATTTTTTTTTTATCTGAATGAAACTGAAATAGTTGGCTGCATGCATTTTTGTGATTTATTTCCCTTTTGTTAAACCCGTATCACACCTAGGAACGCGAAACGCAATAAGCAACTTTGTTTAGAAACGCATCTCAGAATTAGTTTAACGAGCAAATTTTTCTCTTCAGGTTTTTACGAGGATTGGAGGAAAAGTTCAGTTTGACGCTATGTTTCGCATAGGTGAGGCATTATGGGAAGAAAGGATCAAAGAACTTAATTATGTAAAATTGCTAGAAAGTAAGATTCCTCGAAAAACTGCTTTCGACAGAGTGTTGTTTTATTGCCCTTTCTTAAAGCGATTTAACTTAAATACGAGCTGGCCTACCTGGGTCCGAACGGTAAAGTCGCTGAACACTGGTAGTTCGGTCCGAGGTTCGAATCCCGCGAAAGGGCTGGCTGCAGGGGCGTTTTCGTGGTTTTCCCCATGTGTAACGTGTATATAAGCCAGTTTCCCTTAGAAAGTCCCCCACGAAGGCATCCCTTCCCTTAGGCAAATAGCCCTCGAGGCTTTGCCGTAATTAAATAACCTAACCTAACCTAACCTTTGAAAACATATTGAAGAAAGTGTCTCTTTCTGATGGCTTTTTTGAAAACTTTGGGCGGTTGGAAAATCTTTAGTTATTCGGAATGTTGTGAAAAGCCTCACTATATAAGTAATCTGCAAAGTTTAGAATTACTAAAAAAAAAGTGAGCTGAAATCAGCCGCATTCACGAAGATATGCTTCGCAAAAGTATCCCAAAACTATAAAATAAACTAGCAAAGGCCGGATGCTCTTTATTTGGATACAACTATAAACTTTCAATATTTGTTGTAAATATAGAAAGGCGTTTATCTTTATCTTTCAAAATATTCATAGGTTTCAGAAACTGCCTAATGCTTTACTAAATTTAAGTAAAAAATATGCACTTTTGAAGTAATAAAATCTTATCCCCTCCCAGTCATTTAAGATAGTTATATAAAATTTATTTGGTTAAAAAAATGCATATATTTTTTGGAGTTTAAATTATATGTCAGATTATATGCCGTATTTACTTAATTTTTTACTCCCTGTCTTATATGAAAAAATATTTAAACTTGGTCGCACTTATTGGATTATTACATCTGCAACTAATTGCTAAAACAATTTTTTCTCTCACTGGCCGAATACTTATTATTGAGTATTGCAGGTAACAGCCGAACCCAATTTTCATTTAGCTATCTAATCATTGAAAGTGACACTCATGGTGAAGAGGTAAACAATTATTGCACTTATAAGAGGAAGGATAGACACCTATGTCTTCTGTAAGATTCAAACCAGCACCCAAAAATATAGCAACTTGCCCCACTGACTATTCTACCGAACAGGAGAACACTGTAAACATAATGCTTATAGTGAAAAGATCATGATTTTTTACTTTGGTAGACAATAAAATTCATCTCTTTAGAATTTGATATACCCTAACTGTAGAGTTTCATTTTGTATAAGCATTTTTCATGATAGCCAGTGGTAAAACGCTGTACTCCATTAAATTCCGCAAATAATTTTTTTAAAAAGTCTTCAAGTGCTAGTGAATATTTAACATAAATTTTCAAAAGTTACTATAGAATGCTGTTATAAGAGATAAGAACAACAGATTTAACTTAACGGTGACCAATAGCCAAAGTTAGAGCATGTACTTTCCTGCAGAAAATTGTTTGGCCTGTACCGTTATATGTGGAAAAGATGCAAGGTCTGGAACAGAAGACAGCCTTTTCACAAAGTATTTCAACTTAGTGTATTAACAGACATAGCTTGCATAAAATTTTAAGCAGAAGAAAAAAAGAAAAAAAGATATTTAAATGATTCAACGTTGGAAAGGCAAACTTTATTTTACATTTTAGATATTTAATTTCTGGGGAGAATAGAGAATATTTTAAATCTGGCTCCATTACTTAAGATGTTGCAATACCGTGAAAGAAGAATTGTTTTGTTACTTCAAAAATATTATTCATGCAATTATTCGGAAGTTAAATCCGTGCATGGAAAACTGCAGTAGGCGTGTATTTGGTATTGCCGTGACTTACCGCCAAACGCCAGTCCTTGAGAAAAAAGCGAGCATTGATATTATCCTTCGAAAAATCCAGCTTCAAGACCACGAGATGCGGAAGCATTTAATCATCAAAATGCATTGTCCATCACGATTTTTTGGTTGATGAGCAAATAATTAAACGTGTTAGATGTTCAAAACTTTTCTGTAAACAAAGCTGTTAAAAGAAAGCACATATTAGTACTTTCCAATAACAGATGGAGGAAGTTAAAGAATATTAAATCACAACTTAAAACTGCACACAATTAATTAAAAAAACCACAATCTTAAATATTAAAATCAGCGCGAAGGCTTTCCTTGTGAAAGGACAACCAAACTTCTAACGGTACGTTTCGCTTTTGTTACCTTGCTTGAAGGCAAGTCTAGATTAATTCGCCGTTGTCTGAGCCTTGATAAGAAAGAAACGTCTGAAAGCGAATAAAGTGGTAACTTGTGCAGGTTAAAGCAGTTTAATTTTCGAGGTAAACAATCATTTTGCTTCCTTTCGTAGAAAGCGCCGGTTGTTGTGTCGTGGATTTCCTTTTGTAAAGAGTGGAGTACTGATTTTCAGTGTGTCTAGACATTGAGTTAAGGATACAAAGAAAATGTACCTCACGCAACGACGATGGAGCGATATTCCCATGGGTAACAACAAATATAT